TGTGAGGACGCAGGAGTCAACCCCCCCTCCCCCTCCATCTCCATTTTCTCCGTCTCTTTCTCCCTCTCCTCCCCCCCCCACCACCACCTCCTTTAGCTCCCGCCCCAGCAGGTGAGGGGGGGAGGAGCACAGGGTGAGGGGGGGGTCGAGCAGCTTCAGGTGAGACTGGTTCCCCAGGTGAGTCTCCCACGAGGATAGGCAGTCGCACCGCAGGGGGTTAGTGTGGAGGGAGAGCTCCTCTAGGGAGGGGAGGGAGGAGACGAGGGAGGAGGAGAGGAGACTCAGCTGGTTGCTGTGGAGGAGGAGGGTCCGCAGGGAGGACAGGGCACTGAGGGGGGAGGAAGGGAGGAGACGAGGGGGGGAGGAGAGGAGAGAGGGAGAGAGAGATGGGGAGGAGACAAGAAGATGGAAGGGGGTTATAGAGAGAGAGGAAATAAGGAGAGGAGGGGAGGAAACAAGGGGAGAAGAGAAGGAGAGGAGACAAGGAGAGGGACCAAGGGGAGAAGATAAGGAGAGGAGACAAGGAGAGGGAACAATGGGAGGAGAGGAAGATGAGAGAGGGGAGAAGAGAAGAGGAGACAAGGAGATACAAGAGGAAGAGAGGACAGGAAACGTGAAGAGGAAAATAAGGAAAAAGAGGAAACAATGAGAGGAGACAAGGAAAGGAAACAAGTGGAGGAGGAGAAGAGGAGACACAAAGAGGGAACAAAAAGAGGAGACAAGGAGAGAGAGGAGGAGAATCAATAAGGATAGCACGGGAGGAGAGGAGACACAATTAGAAAAGGAAACAAGGAAAGGAAACGAGGAGAGGAAACAAAAAGAGAAGAGAAGACAGAAAAAGAGGAAAAAGAGAAGAAGAAATATTAGAAACAGGTTAACTTTACACTTTTCTTCAATCATCTGTTCTTCTATCTTTTGTTCACGTTGATCTCACCTGAAGGCCTGCGGGTCGATGTAGGACAGTTTGGGGTTGCTGCAAATTTCCAGTTTGGCGATTTCTGGAATGTTCTGGAAAGCCGCTCGCTCCACAATCAGCAGCTCGTCCATGTTGTTCAGACTGAAACACAGACAGCAGTTATTATTATAAGTATATGTGTAATTATTGTTATTTTATTATATTATTACTGTGACAGTAAAATACAGCAGCTCTGGTGATGTGTGACTGACTGTTTGATCATCCGAATTATATACAGGAATAAGCCATCTTTCTTTACATGAAAACAACAGAAAATATATGATCACGTATTTGTTTAAACCATCTTCTCATACTTTGAAAAGAAAATTGTGTGGTTGTGTTATTATTATTATCAACATGAAAGGAACCGCATGTGTAAGACACACATTTCATCATCAGATCGGACTCTGTATTCGAAGATAATCAGAATTAAAGGTCCCCTATTATACTGTTTGTCATCAATGCATTCCAGGTCTCAGATATATACAGAACCTGTCTCTGATTGGCTGGGATCATTGCAGCATTACCCATAATCCCCTCTGTTTCAGCCCTGTTTCCAAAGTGCTGATTCTCTGTCTGTTACTTTGGATGAAAATAAGGAGCCATAGGTCCCCTTTAACATGTCTTGTATTGAGTCCAAACTTGATCTTAACTTCTCTATGTGTTGCTCTTTCTTCCTCACCTGAGCTCCTCCAGGTGCAGGAGGTTCTGGAAGTCTCCCTGCTGGACCCGGCTGATGGGGTTCCTGTTCAGGTCCAGAAACTTCAGGTTAGGGAGAACGCTCAGAGCGTCCCGGGGAACAGACCTGCCGGAGAACATCAGCCAGAGAGGGACGATGTAGAGATTAAATCACATTACGTTACATGGAGCTGACGCTGCTATCCAAAGCAACGTACGATACGTGCAATAAACCATGAGGATACGACCATGTGTCCAACACCAGAAATGTATACTGTCCTTATCAAAACAAGTCACATTTTACAACACTGAATACTAATATTGAGGTAATGAACTAAAGCTATATATAGATCCCATACCTTAACATTACTTTATTAGCTTTTGCATACTTGTTTTGTCAGGAAGTAAAACAGGTCATAATTCCTATTCTAAAATCCATTTATATTGCTTTGAAAACGTTTCTGTTAAACTATTTTTTCACCCAAAACGGCATTTGACAAGACTACATTGAACACATCATGATATAGTTATAGTTTACCTTCCCCTAATACTCATTTTGGCTTAGCATGAATGTGTTGCAACGCTACTCACGCTACCTCTGTTCTCTTACTGCTAATAGCTAACGTTAACTAGCTTTCGTAGTGCCAATTTCAACATGGGTTTGTTGTTGACAATGTGGCATTATGAGTACATAAAAGGTGCATTCCCCCTAGGGCCTAGACGTAAGAAAAGCATGTTTACTGACTGTATCAAAAACACATTTCCTACCCCAGGACAACAAGACTCTTTTAGTCTCAAGATCTGATGGTACTACAATTGTTGCAGCCACCGAAGAAAAGGGAAATGTGTATCAACAGCTGCCGTATTTCAACTGAACACTATACTGTATTATTGGATTTTGTCAGGGACTTGGTAGTATATTATTAAACCAGCATCCTTCACTCCCACCTGAGCTTGTTGTCGTAGAAGGGTCACCCAAAACTGCATTTAAAAGACTACATTGAACACATCGTGATATACCGGTAGTTATGCGTTACCAAATACTCATTTGTACTCAATCGAGCATAAATGCACTGCAATGCTACTCACGCTACCTCTGTTCTCTTACTGCTAATAGCTAACGTTAACTAGCTTTCGTACTGCCAATTTCAACATGGATTTGTTGTTAACAATGTGGCATTATGAGTCAATAAAAGGTGCATGCCCTCTACGTGTCAAAAGCATGTTTACTGTGTCCAAAACACATTTTCTACCCAGGACAAAAGGACTATATTAGTCTCAAGATCCGATGGTACTACAAGTGTTGCAGCCATCTTAAAAAATTAGCTAAAAAGTGGCAAAAAGAAGGGAAACGCGGATCACCTGAGCACTACAGTATGAGAATTAGAAACCAGCGTCCTCCACACCCACCTGAGCTTGTTGTCGTAGAAGGACAGGCTCTCCAGGTAGTCCAGTCCCAGGAAGGCAGCGGACGGGACGGAGGCCAGACCCATCCCGGCCAGAACCAGGCTGTGGAGGCGGGACAAAGGCAGGAAGTTCTTCTCCTCCAGACCCAGGATGGGGTTCTCCCCGATCATCAGGATCTCCAGAGAGGGCAGGGACTCGAACCAGCGGCTGTCGATGGCCACGAGGCGGTTGGAGTTCAGATGGAGCCTAGAGGAGCAGAAAATCAGACACTGATATTACTTTAGGTCAGGGGTGTCCAAACCTTTTTCACCGAGGGCCACATATAGAAACATATATGAAGGGCTGGGCCACTCACTAGAGGTACATTGCCTCATAAGTGAAGTTATAAGTTAGAAAAGTCAATTCAATGTAGGTAAATTACTCTTGATACTTGAAAATGCTGTTAGGAAAGACTGCCTACATCACAGCTCTCCATAGGGTTTCATTTATTTTGTTAGCATCCTTTAAAACAGAAGCTTCAGATTGCTCATCATAAGAGGAAATATGAAGGGTCTGTTTCAAGCTTGTTATGTATATTTGTTACTGGGCTTTTTTCTTATCAACTTAGATTTGCTCGAACATGTTTTCAACTTTAATGGACTGAATGTATTTGAAAGTTCTTATTAACACGTGAATACTGTGTAATATATTTGAACATATATATTTAAGAAGAACAAAATAAGACAAGCAGAGGTTTATTATACTTAAGTCATTATACTTTTTTAATTTGCTGAGGGCCGATTCAAAATGGTCCGCGGGCCGCATTTGGCCCCCGGGCCGTAGTTTAGACACCCCTGATTTAGGTGTTGCATGTGGTCAGTAAATAGTTTCTCTATAACCTTATGACCATAAGGCGGCGTTAAGGGATGTAACAAACGGACCTCTCTTTTTAAGAAAAGCCTCAAGACCCTCCTGTTCCGCACTGCGTTTTCTAACCTTTGATGCTCTTAACTATTTTTTATATTCCCATATTTGACTCAATATATTCCTTAGATTACTTTTGATTTCATCGTATTTTTTCCTCATAGATTTGTGAAGCAACTTGAGATGACGTTGTTTTTAAAGTGTGCTATATAAATAAAATGTATTATTATTATTATTTTAAAAATTATATTTAATTCATAGACCAGAAAAAAACCTGATTCCTTTAAATCAGTGCTTCTCAAAGTGTGGTCCGCGGACCACTGGTGGTCCGTGAGCGCCCCCTAGTGGTCCGTGAGTATATTGGTAAAATGTCACATTTGAAATTAATTAATTAATTAAAGTTTTCCGCACTCTCGCGGGAATATTTCCGCAATGGAGCGAGCTTAAGTTTAAATTTTGATTGCATGATATAGCGCAGATAAACACCTTCATCACACACTTGGGCCACTTGTTCGCACCATTTTCAGGCGATTTGTAAAAGACTCTGTGTTTTGGGATATTTGTGGAGTTAGGCGGTCCGCGAGTGTCCTTGGTATGAAAAAGTTTGAGAAACACTGCTTTAAATGGTGCTTGTTGAAGAAGAAGAAAAAGAAGAAGAAGACGAAGAACAACAACAACAACAACAATAACTAGAAATAGAACAACAACAACAACAAGAAGAAGAAGAGGAAGACCTAGAAATAGAAGAAGTAGAAGGAGTTACCTGAGCAGGTTGGAGAGTCCAGCGAAGGCCTTGGGTCCGATGGAGGAGATGTGGTTGTGGTTGATGTACAGTTCCTCCAGACTGGACAGGTTCCTCAGACTGAAGTCCTCCAGCTCCTGGATCAGGTTCTCCTCCAGGTACAGAGTCACCAGGCGGCCCAGCGTGGACAGGCCCATCGAGCTCACCTGGAAACAGAGAAACCAGCACTTTATTGGGATGAAATTTTTGAGAGGCTAACAAACGGTTGATGTATTTTGTAAACTGTT